GGGCCTGAGCAATTGGGAAGTAGATTGCTGCTTTTTCATTCTGGGCAGGAATGAAAATCCCTGATCTACATGAAATTTTACGGTTTGGGGTTTTTTTATGGGTAATTTAAATATGCTGTAGCTTCTTATTTATTTTGCTTTAAAAAATGTATTCTTGGAAAAACTGATTGTAAAACCTAAAACAAGGTCATGAAGTTAACCAATTTTCCCTTGAGGGCTTTTGCACTAATTCATGGGACGCTGCCACGTTTTCTCCTCTTTTAGGGAAAACATCAAACAGATCATCAAGCTCCTGGCGAGCGTCCACGCGCTGGACCACGCGGCCGCTGTCGCCGGCGAACACAGTGTGAAGGAGTTCAAGTCCCTGGTGGAGGGGAAGCCGGCCTGACCCCGGATGCTCCCGTGCTGTGTTCCATTCCTCATGTACAGACTGTATATATGTAAAGTTTCTTACTGTAAAATAGCGACGCTGGTTTTAATACAAAGAACATTATTAATATCCAATACTGTGTCCTTAAATGCGATTTCTTCAGAATGAAAGGAGTTGAGATGATTTCTAGGAAGTTTTATGAATGTTTTCCTTGTTGCCTGTCATACTTTGTTTACAGAAGTATTTTATATGGTTATTCCAATTAACCCTCTCAGCTAACTGTTCTCTGTAAACAATGTGTGCGGTGTAAATTGTGTAATTAATGCATATAGATATTTATACCGCCATGGAGGTCCTTTCACACTGGAAATTGTGGTGTTTTTCTACAGAGTAAGCCTTTTACCGGCAGGAAGTTACTCCGCAGCGAATGGTCTTGGGAAGTCCTGCTGCAGCAGAGGCTGGCAGTGCTCAGGGTCCTCCGTTGGGTGGCGGCGCGGCGGCTGCCGTCTGCCTCCGTGAGGTCGGTGTGGCCTGATCCGGGGCTGCGGTGAGCTCCTCCCACGTTGGCTGTGTCCAGCTTGGGCCTCATGGAACTCAACATGCAACTTAGGATTTTCGAAAGAACATGGAAGTTTAATTCTTAAAATAATAAGCCTACAACCTATCTGCATGGTTTGGGGCTGACTATCCTGGCTCATTCATGATTTTACTCCTTAACCGGCTTACAAATACATGCATTTGAATTTGGTATCTGTCATTTTAAATCCCACATATGTGAGTTATATATGCAATAAATAATATGCCTTGCTGGTTGGCCACACACCCAGGCAACTGAATATCCATGGTCTTCTATACTGTTTATACGCAGAGTAAATACCCAGGGACTTGCTAAAGTTTATGCTTTCTGATCCTGTGGTTTTCAAAAGAGGAACTTTTTAGAAATTAAGGACTATTGTTTGATAATGATCTATGTAATTAAGCTTTAGCCAAGCATTAAATTAATTTTCACTTATGTCCTTTGTCGTATTTGCTGGGGACTAACTCAGTTGGAGCGTTTCAGGTGGGTTCCGGTAGGGAGACTTGGCGTGTGTGCCAGGTCCGCTCGGATAGCATGTAGGACAGTGCCACCTGCTAACTGCTTGGTGACGTGTGTTTCCTGCAGGCACACGGCTGACACCTGTGTGTTTTTTGCTCTGCCCTAGCGACATACTGAAAAGCAGGACAATGAGAACATGTGTGTGCAGCGTCCGTAGAACGCGATGCAGAGGATGTCTGTAGATGATGGCACATCATGATCCTTGCGTCTGTCTCACCCACAGCCTGGACTGAGGCACATGGCTGGGTTGCAGGCTCAATCCTCAGTGTAGGATGTGCAGGAGGCAGCTGATCAATGATTTTCATCATTGATGTTTCTAACTTGAATGCCAAATATATATACTGAGTTCAGAGAGGAAGGGAGAGGGAGAGACAGAGAGAAACATCAATGATGAGAGGGAATCATTGATTGGCTGCCTCCTGCACGCCCCCCACTGGGGATTGAGCCCACAATCCCGGGCATGTGCCCTTGACTGAAATCAAATCTGGGACCTTTCAGTCTGCAGGCCGGTGCTCTATCCACTGAGCCAAACCTGCCAGCGCAATGTTTTTAAAAAATAGAATCATCCAGCACCACAATGGCTAGCACAGCCTTGCTCAGAGGACTCACTGTGGTCCAGTGAAAAAGATCTGTTGGAAAATATACCTTGTATCCTCTACTTGGTGATTCAAAGCACATGACAGCCTATAGAAGCTATTTTAAGCTGCTTTACAGAAACACTGACCACAGGAGCTTCCCTGAGCCTGTGACTTTAGATTCCAAACTCAGAGGCGCCCGCTGGTCACATCCTGCAGTTCTAACGAGGAGCCTCCCTCTGCGCTGACGGTCCCGCAGAGCCCACACCAATGTCGGCTCCCACCTGTGTGACTAAAGCTGGCAGCAGTCATCGAGTCAGACTGTTAATGTTCTCCAATTTGCCAAACATCCTCTAGCCAGTGGTCGGCAAACTCAGTAGTCGGTAGAGCCAAATACCAACAGTACAACGATTGGAATTTCTTTGGAGAGCCGAATTTTTTAAACTTAAACTTTTAACCCCACTTCAAAATAGACTCAGCCAGGCCGTGGTATTTTGTGGAAGAGCCACATGTGGCTCATGAGCCGCAGTTTGCCGACCACGGCTCTAGCATTTTAGGTGAGAAAATGCAGGCTGTAAGGAAAAGGTAACCAGCAAACACCTGCCAACATTCACAATCTTGTGACATAGTTTTTGTGTCATTGTTTGGATAATCATTAGTAATTCCTAAATTATTAATCCTAGCTGTAGTTTACTGGGGTCAGACTATTAGATTGGGCTTTTTTTGACTTACAGAAATGGCAATTTCATCTTTCAACCCGATAGAATTTGCCCATTGGAGAAATAACTTGGTCAAAACTCAACGTCTGTAAGTCAGGTGTTTGCTTTCAATTCCTGGAGGCTGTTGAAGCTGGTGTCGCTACCACCTGCCTGGGGTGCTTCAAGCGTCAGGAAGTCCCAGCCCACCTCAGGCCCTGGGAGCCTCGCCTGGAAGCGTGGGCGGCTGCTTCACTGCATCTGCCAGCCCACCCCAAAGGCATTCCCCAGATTGGGCGAACATTTGTCCTGCTGTTTGCAGCGTGACAATGAACAAGGAAGTATGACCAGGGAAAGGGCACGAGAAAAGAGAAGAAATGACAGTTTGTGAAAGTCACCAGTAAAAGTGGCCCTTGTGTTTTCAAACCTTGGGCATGCGCTTATTTCATGACTAGACTGATCAGTTTTGAAAGGGTCTGGAAAAGCTGTGAGCTTCTGTCCATTCTAGGACACACACACACCACACACACACACATTTTAATTTGAACAAGTAAGAAAATTCCGTCCTCACCCACTCCCGTGTAGTTTTCTCTAGAAAATGCAATCTCCGACTGTAAAGGATTCTCCTGGAAAGAACACCCCTCATGGATCAGTAGATTCTCTTCATCGTAGTAAGCTGAGGCTGCTGTCGGCAACCACTACAAAGAGCAAATCGTTTTTCTAAGGAAATCGTGTTAGGGTTTTGACGGTGAGTGGAGCTGTGAAACAATGCATGACAGAGAGGAGAGAGAGGCAGAGAGAAAGTTTGTTTTACTTTCCCGGAAGGGAAAGGGCTGGTGCATTGCTGATTAATACCAGGGGGGAATAAACACTGGCCCGCCCTTAGGGCGCAGGCTGCAGTTGCTAGGTGATAAGGCCGGGAGGGGGGCTTGGGAGGTGTCTTATCAGTATCTGCCTCTGGCCTGTAAGACGTGCGGTGACAGCTGTGAGGAGTTCCGAGAGGCTTGTTTGAAGAGGAGGGAAGGGAACTTCCTCTAACCGGAGACTCCCTGGGGTGAGTTGTGAAAATTGTCCCTTAGCGGGGTGGTGGTGGGAGCAAGAATGCAGCCTTGAGAGCAGCTGCTGTGGCCCTGCGCTTTGAACAGAGGGGCTGTTTGAGTCAGAGGCACCAGCAAGCTCGGGGAGACCACCAGGTGCTTCTGATAAACGGGAAGGCGAGGGAGGGGCCTGTTCAATCCTCACTCAGACAGCACTGAGACATGCCCTTCCTTCTCAGGACAAAGTCCCTGCGTGTGTGTGTGGGTGTGTGTGTGTGCATCTCCTGGGAAAGAAGTGGCCTCTTTTCTAGTGAGTGACGGCCACTCAGACCCTGGGACCTGGGTGGGTCAGCTTCTCCAAAATGGATGGAAAAGGGTAAGTGCAGCCGTGGCAGGCCTGGCGGGAAGTGATTCTGTGTGCTCTGCGGAATCTGATTCTGCTGGTGCTGCCGCCAGGAAAGCAGGAAGGGGGAGAAAGAGCAACGGCCAGGGAAGCCCTTCCCCAGGGCTGGTTTGAGGTTTTCGATTCCGTTTGGGGTGCTGGTGTTGACTTCATTTCCGTATTTAGATCTCTGAGGAGGAAGCAATGGAGAGCCCTAGGACACCGCCCTTGGCCGGGAGCAGGGCTGGCTGGGAAAGGGAGCTTTAGGTCCGGGGTTCCACAGCCAGAAGCTGCTGGCCACCCACTCGGTGACCATCACAGCCGCCGGGCCTCAGTGCCATCCGGGGTGACAGCCGGGTCACCGGGGACGGCTTTCCTGGGGCGCAGCGGACCGCCCGAGCCCCCCAGTTACAAAGCGGCTTCTTCCTTCCGCCTCCGGACGCCCAGCGACACCATGGACAGCTCCCAGGCGCCGCCCGCGGCCCGGCCCTCGCAGTCCCCTCGCCGGGGGCCGCCCGCAGGCCCTTCCCCGAGCCCCGGCACCCCGGGGGCGCCCCGCGGGGCTGGGGAGGCCGACTGCCGGCACCTGGCACCCGGGCTGCGGACCTGCCGCTGCGGCCGCGGACCCCGCCGAGCAACGCCCGCTGCGCGCGGAGGCGGCTCCCAGCCCCCCGGGCCCGCCCCGCGCCCGCAGCAGGCGCCGAGTGGGCGTGGCCTCCGGACGCCCGCCCCTGGCCCCGCCCCCGCGGTGCAATGCGGAAGCGCGGGGCTGCTGGGCGGAAGTGACGCTTCCGGCGGCGGCGGCGGCGGCGGCGGCGGCCGGGCGGCGGGCGGCGGCGGCGGCGGGAGCCGGGCGGCGGTGAGGCGGCGGCGGCTGAGGCACGTCCTGCCGCGGGCGGCCTTCCCGGGGCGCTGTCCGCGGCGCCCGCGGCGGCAGCGGGGAGGGCGGGGTGAGGCGGGGAGGGGAGCGCGGGGGCGGCGGGCGGCGGTGGTGACAGCGCTGTCAGCGCCGCGGGCGGACGCGGGCGGACGCGCCGGCTGCTCGGCGCCCGGGCCGCGGCCGCGCAGGACCGCGAGGAGCCGGCAGGTCTGCGCCCGCGTCCTGGCTCCCCGCAGCCGGGAGCCCCGCGGGGTGCCCTCCCCCGGGGGGGTGCGCCCTCCGTCCGGCCTCCCGCCGGGCCGGGCCGGTTCCAGCTTCCGAGCCGGCCCTCCCCGCGGCGGCCCGGAGCGGGGCGCTGGGAGCGGCCCCGGCTGCGCGCCCGGCCCGCCTGCTCTTCGGGAGCCTCCCGGCGGACCGAGCCCTCTCCCCGCCCGCCCGCGGAGGGGGCCGGCGGGCATGGTGCGGGCTGCGGGGAGGGACCCCTGACGGGGGTCCGGCTGCGGGGGAGGAGGGACAGGCTGGGGTGTGGGGGGGAGACCGGCTCCGGGGCGCCGGCTGCGGGGGAGGAGGGACAGGCTCCGGGGGGAGGGGGACCGGCTCCGGGGGAACCTGCTGCGGGGGGAGGAGGACCGGCTGCGGGGGAGGAGGACGGCCCCTGGGGGGAGGGGGACCGGCTGCGGGGGGGGAGGACGGCTCCTGGGGGGAGGGGGACCGGCTGCGGGGGAGGAGGACGGCTCCTGGGGGGAGGGGGACCGGCTGCGGGGGAGGAGGACGGCTCCTGGGGGGAGGGGGACCGGCTGCGGGGGAGGAGGACGGCTCCTGGGGGGAGGGGAACCTGCTGCTGGGGGAGGAGGACGGCTCCTGGGGGGAGGGGACCGGCTGCGGGGGGGGGGGCCACCGGCGGCGGGAGGGGCCGGCGCCACCTCTGCTCTGCTCGCTCCACAGGCTGCCCTCGGACAGGATGGCGTTCAGCAAGGGGTTCCGGGTCTACCACAAGCTGGACCCCCCGCCCTTCAGCCTCATGGTGGAGACCCGGCACCGGGAGGAGTGCCTGCTGTTCGAGTCCGGGGCGGTGGCCGTGCTCTGTGAGTCCGGGGGCTGCTGCTGGGGGGCTGGGCCTCAGGGGACCCCCGACTCCTTCTCCCGAGGAGGCTTTTCCTCCCCGCGGCAGGCTTTGGGTGGGGCTGATGAGACCTCGGGTACAGGTTTTGCTTTAGTAGCGGTTCCTGCTGCTTTGAAAAGTAAATCCTTCCTTCAGAGAAATATTGCTGCGTGTGTACCACAGTCCACATCCCACGACGTGAATGGCTTGCTTCCCATTTTTTTCTGTGATGGACAGACGTTCTTACAGCTCAATTGTAGTCGTGGACTGTTATGACTACTTACTTGTATTTTTGGAGTGTCTTATGGAGAGGACCTTACTATATTTTCATTTAGAGAATTGTAAGCACTTTTTAAAATTTCATGTGGAATAAGTGATTGGTTTCATGTCGTTTGAAAGTTATTTTGATGGGCTCTTTTAAAGAAAAGGACTATCATATCCCACATAAACAATATTAGGTTCTGCTCTGGCCCGGTGGGTCCGTTGGTTGGAGTCTGGGCCCTACACCCAAGCGTTTCTTTCAGGATCTGTTCCCAGGCAGAGAACATGCCTAGGGTGCAGGTGTGATCCCCATGGGGGGGCGGACAGGAGGCAGCCAGTTGATACTTCTCTTACATGGATGTTTCTCTTTCTCTCTCTTCCTCCCTCCCCCCTCCTCGATAAAAATCAATTAAAAATATTCTTGTGTGAGGGTTTTTTTTTAAAGTAGATTAATATGTTTTGGGTTGTTTTGTGGGCAAATTTGTGAAATTAAAAATAAAAATTAATTTGAATATTGTCTTAATATAAGATTTTGGCAAATAAGTTGGGTTATACTCAGTATGGGCTTACATTACTCAGATTGCTTTTTATCCTTGGACACACCAAACTTAACTTGCTATAATATTAATTTGCATAGCATATTGTTTCCTACTACAAGTATAATTATACTGATGAATTCTCTTTTTTTTATGAGTTCTTAATTAAAAATATTTGGGGGAAATGTTCGGCTTAGCATGTGAAACATTTTTAGCGGCTTGTGTTTTTGATGGCATTACCTGATTTTCTGATTTATCTAAATTCAAATGTTTCTTTAATTTTGCTGGTAATGATAGGGATCCAGACAGTCAGCTCCTAGGCACGCATTACCTGTGGTTATCAGTTACTCTGTACTTTCCTCCCAGGTCAGGAACCCTGAGGGTGACCAAACCTCCCGCCGCTCTCCTTTTGCCAAGAAATTATTTTTAAAAAATCCCCAGCCATCCATTTGACATTGATATTCTAAGGAGGAAGGATATAAAAATACTATCTTAATTATTTATTAATTCTACTTCTTGTATTAGATTTAGACTACGTAAGTAATTCTTTCAGGAGAAAAAAATAAAGCTTGAATATTGCCTCTCTGTAATGGATGTATAATCTCTTGGGTATGCTCTGTTTTCCTGTTATAAGCTTTTAATGTTTAAGAGCTAACAGACCTTTTTATAAGTCACTTGACTTAGAAAGTTAACTTGACATTGAGTGTGGAGTGCTATGCTATAGAGCTCCCTTTACCAGCCGCCGCGTTAAAGGGCCGCTGTGGCCGAAGCTGGTGTGGCTCAGTGGTAGAGCGTCGGTCTGCAGACTGAAGGGTCCCAGGTTCGATTCCGGTCAGGGGCATGTACATTGGTTGCGGGCACATCCCCGGTAGGGGGTGTGCAGGAGGCAGCTGGTCAATGTTTCTCTCTCATAGATGTTTCTAGCTCTCTATATCTCTCTCCCTTCCTCTCTGTAAAACGTCAATAAAATATATTTTAAAAAATAAATAAATAAAGGGCCGCTGTGCTCGGGCACTGCAGGGAAAGACCCGGGCGGGGCTCTGTTTTGGCCAGCCCGGCCGAAGCTCAGTGCGTCCTGCATGTTCACCGCCCGGAGACTCCTAACCGTTTTACATTAAACAGGAGGGTAACCTCTTCCCTGTGAGAGGACGGTCAGATCCTCCCCGTCAGACCAGGCGCCGCCACTGGCCCTCCCTCCCGCCGGCCCTGTCCATCTCCTTAAGGACACACTGGCATTTCCTCGTGCTTCCCGGTGCCAGGCTGCCGACATCCTGCCGCTCCTGGCTCCGCCCGCTCTCCTGACTGCCAGGATGCCCTCTCCTCCTTCCAGTGCCGGCTCTTCATCCTTCCCAGGCTCTGCCCTCACCCCTGCCTCTCACTGCTCTGTCTTCCTTCCTTCGTTTTGTAGAACTCGGCCTGTACCCCGGGATGACCGCTTTTTACTGGTACATGCTGGTTTTGCTGGTCTCTGCATACTTGTGTGAGGTATTCTTCTTGAAAGTTGACGGGGACGGGGCCGCTGGCAGGAATCGGGCTTCGTGTACCCAAAGCTGGAGTGTCTGGAGGCTCTAGTTGCCCTGCTTTACTGAGTGAAACTGAGGAAACTAGATACCGCGGCAATGGCTACTGGCAGTCACTGCCTTTGCTTGGGCGATGGCAGCAGTGGTCATGTCAGAGACACCGCATGAAATGTCTTCCATGTTACGAGCACATGTCAGAGATGGATGTCGGGGGACACACTGAGCTCCTCGCAGATCGGGATTCTCTTCGGGCCAGGTGTCCCTATCGCAGCCTGGCCTCTGTCTGTATCGGCCGGTCCCAGCGTGAGTGCAGGTGAGTCCTGCGGCTCGGACCGGATCAGTGGCCTGGGTGTGCATTACACTCACCTGGGCCGGCTTCCCAAGGACAGGGCCTGGGCTCCAGCCCCAGCCCCCAATTCCGATAGAATCGGGTTGGGATGGTAATTTATTTTAAAATGTATTTTATTGACGTAGGGAGAGGTAGAAACATCGGTTGGCGGCCCCCTGTCCGCGCCCTACTGGAGATTGAACCTGAAAACCTGGCGTGTGCCCTGCCTGGGAGTGGAACCGTGACCTCCTGGTTCATGGGCCCACACTCACCCACTGAGCCACAGGGCCGGGGAGGGGATGGCAATTTCTGAGCATCGTTTACACAGGCCTTTCTATGATAGATAGCAGGACAGGCAACTTTAGCTTGCAGTTTTTCTGAAAACAATCACGTTTCCAGAATTACAGTGCGTTTTGTTGTTGCGGGGCCAGTAGGGAGCTTTCTGGAGCCACAGCTTGAACAGAGGCTACCTCTCGCACAGCGCTCAGCGGGCACCGGCAGCCACATGGAGCGCGGGCGGCGTCTGTGTGGTGCCGCTCGGAGGAAAGGCCGTGTCTGGGAAATCTTGTCCCCCTGGTGTTAGTACAGTTTCACTCATACTTGCAGAATACATGGTCAGTCAAGAAGTGGCACAGGGAACAAGACGAACCTAAACTAGCCGAAACCGGTTTGGCTCAGTGGATATAGCGTCAGCCTTCGGACTGAGACGTCCCAGGTTCGATTCCGGTCAAGGGCATGTATCTTGGTTGCGGGCACATCCCCGGTGGGGGGTGTGCAGGAGGCAGCTGATTGATGTTTCTCTCTCATCGATGTTTCTAACTCTCTATCCCTCTCCCTTCCTCTCTGTAATAAATATATATATATATATATATATATATATATATATATATATAGATATATATATATATAGAGAGAGATGAACCTAAACTAGACAACAAAATTGACAGGCATGCAACATTCTCTATATTCTTTGCCCAGTTGGTGTGGCTCAGTGGTTGAGCATCGCCCTTTGAACCAGGTGGTCACTATTCAATTCCTAGTCAGGGCACAGGTCTGGGTTGCAGGCTCGACCCCAGTGTGGGGTGTGCAGATAGCAGGCAATCAATTATTATCTCTCATCATTGATGTTTTTCTCTCTCCCTTTCTTCCTCTCTGAAATTAATAATAAACTAGAGGCCCAGTGCACAAAATTTGTGCACTGGAGGGGAGGGTTCCTCAGCCCAGCCTGCGCCCTCTCATGGTCCAGGAGCCCTCGGGGGATGACCGGCAGTCAGACATCCCCAGAGCTGCCATGGAGGCGGGAGAGGCTCCTGCCACCTGCACTGCACTTGCCTGCCATGAGCCTGACTTCTGGCTGAGTGGTGCTTCCCCTGGTGGTCAGTGTGCATCATAGCAACCGGTCATTCCGCTGTCGGGCCGAAACCAGCTCTCCAACATCCCCCAAGGGCTCCTGGATTGTAAGAGGGTGCAGGCCAGGCCAGGGCACCCCACCGGTGCCGGGGAGGGACACAGGAGGTTGGCCAGCCCGGGAGAGACTGGTGAGGGCTCCAGGTCGTTTCTGGCCTGTCTTGCTCAGTCCTCTAAAACACCCGCAGCATCCTGGCCCGGCAGGTCAGCTGGTGGGAGCATTATCCCCACTTGTGAAAAGGTTGTAGGTTCAATCCCCAGTTGGGGCACTTATGGGAGACTCATCAGTGTGTCTGTCTGTCTGTCTGTCTCTCTCTCTCTCTCTCTCTCTCTCCTTTCTTTCCATATATCCTTGGGTGAGGGTTATAAAATAAAGTGCCAGCAGCTCTGCTGGGAGTTGGTTGAGGTGTCCCTGAGCATCTCGGCATACGTGTGGCGATGTGGCATGAGACGTGTTAGTTCGTTTAATTCTGTGGGTTGTGCTTTACCCCACACCACAGACGTGGACCCTGAGGATTGGAGAAGTGAAATAATGGCTCCGATGGCGTCGTCTTTCCGTTTGGTTTTCTCCACCGTGATCGTTGTTTGTGCTGCTGTGAGGGTGGCGGTGGAGATTGGGGAGTTAGGGGAGTGGACGGGGAAAGAGAGGGGTGCTAGTGGAAGACGGAAGTTGGGCGTCCAAAGGCCGCATGTTCTGATGAGGCGTGGACTAGGAATACAGGAGGGAGGCATGGCTCGGTTCAGGGTGGGCCGTTAAAGACCGAGTTCCTCTGGTGGCCAAGTTCAGTGCGGCTTCTAGACTTCCGTGTGAGAGTGGGCGGTGCCACGCAGTGTGCACAGCTGCTCCTTCTGTTTGATTGCCACATGCTGCCCGCCTTCACGATCGCCCGTTAGATAAGTGGGAGTGTTCTGTCTCTGGAAGAAAAACGTT